GCGACTGGCGGTAGTGGGCACGCGGAGAGGTAGAGGACGACCTAAGAAGTATTGGGGAGAGGTTATCAGACAGGACATGGCGCGACTTAGGATTACTAAGTACATGGCCCTTGACAGGGAATTATGGAGGTCGAGTATTAAGGTTGTAGGTTAGGGGAGAGTTGTGAATATTTCTACAGCACAATAGAGTAAGACTAGCCAGTTAGGAGTTAGATTAAGAATGTCATTGGTCGTCTATTGATGCAGGGCTTTACCTGCTAGTTTTACTATACCAGCCATCTTTTTCGTATTTTGTATTCTGTATTTCATATCTATTGTATTGCTGTTATTTTATTATGCATTTATATGGCATTTATATGGTACTAATATAGCGGCTTCTGTTGCTTTTTGAGCCGAGGGTCTCCTGGAAACAGCCTCTCTACCCTTCGGGGTAGGGGTAAGGTCTGCGTACATATTACCCTCCCCAGACCCCACTTGTGGGATTATACTGGGTTGTTGTTGTTGTTGTTGTTGTTGTTATCTATTGAAATTCTAGGCCTAAACCATGTAATTAAGGGTAGAAATTAGGGAATTGGGTAGAGCTAGGGCTTTTTGATTTTTCTTGATTTAGACCTCGTTTTGGGGTCGAATTTGAAAACAAATTATATATTCGGACTAGTGGGCGAATGGGTGATCGGGTTTTGGTCCGAACCTCGTATTTTGACCAAGCGGGCCCGGGGTTGATTTTTGAGATTTTGGGAAGAATGATTGGAAAGTTATAGTTGAACATTGGAATTGGATTGTTTAGCACTTATTGATGATATTGAGTCAATTGTGTATAGATTCGATTGAGTTGGAGCCGAATTTGAGAGGAAAAGCGGTGTTCGAGGCTTGATTTGGCCGTGGAAGTTCGAGGTAAATGTTCGGTCTAACCTCAGCTTGAGGGATTAGGAGTTGAGTCTTATTTGCTACTTGCTTCTTGTTGAGTGCGACGTATAGACATGGTGACGAGTATCTATACGTTGCTGTCGAGCTTGACCGTGAGTCTTAAATTTGAACGTTGTTGTGCTCTTAGATGACACTTCAAGTGCTTTAATTAATGATCTCCTACATTGAGTAAAGATTGATTTTATCCTCGTAGATCTTAGTTATGATTGAGTATTGTCATTAATTGAGCTGAGTACAAAATGAGTTAGGATTTGGTTATAGCTGATTCTCCCTTGCCGGGATGACTGTTTCGATATTGTTATTCCCTTGCCAGGAAGTTATTATATTATTTTGTTCCCTTGCTGAGATTTCTTGTAATTTTGTGATGACTTGTAAATGGGAGCGGGTGGTACGCCTACCACAAGATATAAT